CAAACATTAATCTCCTGCTAAAACCAGGCAAAGACCCTGTATATCCCTCAAGCTATTGTCCAATATCCCTTATAAATGTAGACCTCAAAATAATATCAGGTTTTTGTAAATGTACAATGTTTTGGGAGGTTTAATAACAAATTGAGATGAACACACAGAGCACTCACACACTGACTGTTTTCCTCTCAGGATAATATAGATTACTGTGGTGACCTCTAACCTCACTTGACTGCTTAATGGATAATGTCTGCACACTCATCTATCCGAACATGAAATATTTAACAGTTTGTTTTAGTATTCAAGCTACAACAGTGCAATTAGTTATTTATATAGATATATATATTTTTAACTAGCTCATTTTTTTAGCATTCAAAAGCCCCCGATCACCGGTATCTACTGAGAAGCTGAGAATGTGCGTTAGCGGGACACTTTCCACGTTTGTCCTCCTGCATGCGATTAGAATTCCGGTCAATTTCCTTCCTGCTTGACTGACAAGTCCTCAGGATCCGTGACGTGAGCAGAATCAGCGAAGTGTCAGGTACCACAACTAAGAACTACCTTCAAAACCAGACCAAGGTCGGATGAAAAGACAAACAAAACGGAGAATATCTTCTATATGCTTTTATCACAGCACTTAGAAACAATATCAGTGTCGTGCGTGGAGATATACTATATAATAAATATTTTAAAGCAGCCATCTACTTGTGAATAATACAAAAGCAGCATAGAGTGAGAGTGTGAGTACTTCCAGGGGAGGGATGCCAAAAAATGTCAAAATACAAACACGGAAGATTATAAACAGACATTTTTTCAAAATTAAAGCAGCGCCTCAAGATGAAATGTTTATTCGTTTGCAGTCCGTTTGCTACCAAATTCAATCACTACCAAACATGACTTGCTAAAAGCATAAACAAGTTTCATTACATGTTAAGTCACTTAATAAAAATCTCATTTTAAGCGTATTCTAATTGATTTTGGGGCCTTTGGTGATCTTGCACCAGCACGGAAGATTTAGGAAATGGTTAATTATACATTTTCATCTCCTTTGCAATACATCTGCCAGTTTCGTTACTTTACCTTGATTAACAAAAACAAACCGTGGAGACAGTGATCTTGGCTGCCTTTCTGATGTCTCACAGGAAACTGAGGTGAGCCTATAGCATTTACTTGGAATTTCACTCACTCCTATCTGGATGCACATTCAGCACCCTGTACAAAGACTAAAACCACTAGACTGGTGAAATGTTGTCTCATTAGTCACTGGCTTTCTAAACAAAAGGCACATTTTTCTTCCTCTATCTATGGTACTGCTTGAAAGTGCACTCATTTAATTCACTCCACTGTAATTGGTCAAGTTTGTCTGCTTGTTAGGAAACTTACTCAAAAAGGTTGCATGAAATTTTACCATAAGTGGGCTCAACCTAGATGCTGATTAAATTTTAAGTTAATATGGAACTGGTAAGGACCAATGTGAGACAAGGCAAAATTTCTAATTTCCTGTCAAACAACTAAAATCATGAATGAGTTGGAGGCAATTTTTAAACTATTTGAATACTCTTGTTTTATTTTCTGTTGTTGCACACAGAAGGTTTTTAAATGGCCTGTATCTGTGGTGTTGTTGGATGTTTCACTTTTAACTCGCAGGTTACTAAAGGTTTCTTCTACTCAACTATGGCCTTCACGTAAATTTTCTGTAATCAATAAACATCATGTGAGAACCATGGACAGCTCCACGGACTGAATG